GCATTAGAAAGAGGATCATGAAAAACCTATAAAAAAATGGTTCATGAAATTTTAGTTCACTCATAAAGCTAAAGTCCGCCTGCTCTAGCAAAAAATGCCCACTGTGCGTTACAGTGAAAGTTGTCCTGGCAAAAAATTAATCAACATTTCTAGTAAAAAACAAGGTTTTGGAAAAACATACATAACTGGCAGAATACATAAATAAGATGTTTCTCTTACGAACGCCAAAGTGTTCTGTAGACTAATGAAAGAAATCTCTTCGTTATTATCACGTTGGAAAACCATAGCGTCTACTCTCTAAATCTGACCTCCTTTGGAAACGGATTGGAGACAAAATCCATACAAATCGTTGATCGATCTGCATTAACGAAGAAAAATAACCTATTTGAGATCAAGATACCTTCTATGGAGGGTTTTTTTGCAGATATTATAGCAATAACTCGCAATGTTCCCGTTTTTGCAGAAAATCACAATTTCTGCGACTTCTCGAAGAACATATTCTGGGATCCGAGAAAAAAATCCCGCAGGTTTCTCGATGTCGTTAAGTATTCACGATTTTATTTTGTATAAATGGAGTACATTATTCTCAAAAGAACTTCGAAAGCCTTTTCTTAGTGAGATGTTAGACGAAGTCATTATAATATCAGTGCTACTGACGGCATAACTTGCGATTCCAGACTTCATTAAAACTTATGGAAATTTTAAAAATTCAAACACGTATGACTTTTTTATATGAATCGAATAGGGATAAACTACCACAAAACACAAAATCGGGTTTGTGTGAATATGGAGTCGAACACACAAACTTAGCTTTGCAACACTAGTCGAGAAGCTTGTGCTCCTACAGACAAGAATCCTGCACCCTGCCTGTACAGACAAGTATCTTGTCCTATGTTTTCTTAGAAGAAAGTGATAATGCTTGGACGTACATTTTCTTTACACTTGAGTAGCAACAACATAGCAAACGAAAAATGATCGTTTTAGAACTTGAGAAAGAGTTGTCTGGGTACTTTTGACTAATCTAAGATGCAATTTAATAGAATTCTCAAAACTTAGAATAAAACATAACATGGCACATTACAATAAATGAGAAATTCAAATTTTGAATGTCAAATTCTAATATACACATAACTCGACTTGTGTATGTTTTGTATACTGTATATGTATTTCGACTTCATCCTAGGTTACGTGAAGTCAGGTTATGTGGAAACTGTAGTTCTGTGAGAATAGTCCAGGGCGAAGAATACTGAAATCTGAGCTTCTTAGATCATGTTACAAGATACCATAAGATTTTACAAGATCTTACAAGATTTCAGAAGAATCTTGGTTCAAGAATGTTGTAAGATGTCACAAGATTTTTCGTGCAACAAGATTCTGTAAGATCTTACAAGATTATGTTTCTAGTTCTGTCCTATAAATATATATAAACATCCCCTTTAGACCCTCTTTGAAAAAAAGTGTTTTTAATATTTTTGAGCATAGGAAGGACTCTGACGTTCCTAGGAACATGCCTAACCATGTTTCCTACAGCCATGCACTTTATTTGTGCTCAGTTGATGTGTGAAGTTGGAGAAAGAAAAAAATGTTAAGTTTGTCATAAGAACTATGGAATATATACTATATATCGTACCAAAATTTATGTAAAATTTATGGAATTCATCATAACTTTTTGTAAGATCTTGTAACAAGAAATCGTTTGATCTTGTGATGATCTGTGTGTTCGATTTGATAAATTTGAAAAATAAATATAGTTTAAAAAAAACAAAAAACAAGTTGACCTAAGACTTACATCTCTTTGGATTTTTTATTTTGATAATTTCGGTAGAGTTCAGCATGCCTTTTGTGCAGAATAATTTACGCGAAGATTGTGAAGTTCCTCTACAGATTAGCAATTATCATACAGCAAAATTATGGCTTTGAATTTTCTTTGTCTAACTTATAGTAGTAAATGTGTTAACCAGCTGAGCTCCAGGTTCACTCGAAATCAATAAAATCGTTCAATATTATATGGGCGTAAGTCCGATGAAGCATCGCACTCTAAAAAAAGGTCGTAGATTAATAAACTACGATAAAAGAGTTTTTTTGACTAAAAAGCTGATCAAAAAACCGAAAACAGTTTTTTAACGGGTTTTTTAGGCCAAAAAACTAAAAAGCGTTCGTGGTCGTTTCAAAATGAAAAATTCACGGTTTTTGGGCGAGGGTTTTGGGTCTAAAAACCTCTTTAAAAAATCCTGTTAGTTTTTTCCTCGGTTTTTCAAAATCACTAAAAAAGTCTGTTGGTTAAAAACCGAGGAAAAAACTAACAGGGTTTTTTAAAGAGGTTTTTAGACCCCAAAAAACTCGCCCGAAAACCATGAATTTTTCATTTTGAAACGACCACGAACGCTTTTTAGTTTTATGACCTGAAAAACCCGTTAAAAAACGTTTTTGATCAGCTTTTTAGTCCAAAAAACTCTTTTATTGTAGTTTATTAATCTACGACTTTTTTTTAGAGTGTGGTTCTATAAAATACACTTGAGTTTTATGTAATCTAAATGGATACTGAAATCTCATTAAAACTTGGTCTTTTTTAGTAAAAACTTAACCATCATATGTGTGTGACACTTGACGGTATTTAGTCTGATTCGATACTTCTGATTGCACAAAAACTTTGTCCTAAAAGTTCTCACAACACGTGTATTCGAATGTGTATTTATTCTTATGAAGTACACATGACACGGAAATATTCCGATTATATAAAATATTTAATACGAACAATCATATATAAACCGGTTGTTGTTCCAAATAAGTTCAGAACAGAATTGAAACATTTAAAATCTTTTTTGTCAGTAAACTCACTATTGCGTAAAGTAGCAAGAAGTTTACTTGTTAGCTTGCAATTCGCGTTTTTCTACTTAACGTTCAACGAGATTCAAAGTGTACTATACGTGGTCTAGATCTTAGACTATAATATCCATACAATCTTTGATTCGAACAAAAACTGGTTTTGATAATTAAAGCGTGTTTTTTTCTTCAGCAGGATAAAGTTTAGCATTTTTACAATATTCTCGTTTCTATTCACATTAAGTCATCATGCAACAAAACCGAAGTTATATTGACAATGAATGTTTCTTGCTACAATCTGGTTAAAGTCTTTGAAAAATGTGTTAAGTTGAGTTTTAAATTTTCATTTTTTCGTAGAATGAGACAGGCGGCAGAACGAGTTAGACGCTATGAAAACGTTTTTTTAAGGGGAAGACTGAGTGTAAATTGATTTCTCTTGACGAAGACCATTTTGAATTAATTTAAATTAAATGAATACTGAAGGTAAATATCAAAATATTTACTCGATACTAATGCAAAGAATTTTCTAATCAGGTGGACGCTTGTAATAAACAGAGAAAAAAAAGAGTCAAAGGTAGGAAAAATATAGCATTTATATGAAAAATGCAAAGAAAGAAGTCCTTAAAGTTGTGAGTTTACTTAGCATCCCATTTTCACACTTTTTTTATATTCCAAAAGCTGTGGACGCTTCGCCTTCACTGTCTCTACGGTTCCATCAGCTTTGGAGTGAGCATAAAACGTTGGGCAGTTAAAAGTTTTTAAATTTAAAAGTGGATTAAAACTTTTTTTTCTCGAAACTTTATTCGGAAAAGCTGACCAAGACTACGATGTGTTTGTGCTTTTAAGTATCTTCTTAAATGAATAGTGCTTTTCAAAAGCTGTTCATATTTGAGAACTTCAAAAGAGAACTTCAAAAATATTGAGCATAAACATGAAGCTAAATTTTCTAACAAGGCTTATTCTTTTCTGTTAGTTAGTTAATTTTAAGCGTTAAGTTTTTAGTGTTTCGTAGAGTGAGCATAAAACGTTCGAAAGTTAGATTTTAATCATTTATTTCTGTCTTATTTAGTACAACTTTCTCTAATATGTCACTTTTATCTTGTTTCTTTTTGAATGCAATATTTCACATATAACTTCGCAATAAAAAGTGCTTGAACGCTCAAAGTCTTTCCTTTTGAAGAGAAATTTGTTTTATGAGAATAAATCCTATAAGAAAATTTAGGGCCATGTACATTGTGACATAGAATACAGTTCCTGCGATTAGTTTTTGTGACTTTGCGGAATGCTGGTACGTGATTACTCAAGAGGACTCAAGCAATTGAATATTATTTATTTACCATCTTAGAAACTTGTCAAGTGTGGAGAAGATCTCGGACTATTGAAACTCCCATTTGTCAGCACCGTACTCTGGTAATAGTAGCCGCAAGACAATGTATTCTTCTTCTTCCACTTGGAATCTCGTTGAACATCTTTGGTTAAGTAGAAAAACAAGAATAGCAAACTGGGCTAAACTTTTCTCTGCCACTTGAATACTATATTCTTATTTTGTTAGTATTTTTAACCTTGGCTAGTATTCTCTTGTTATTTCTAGACACAAACTAATTATAGGGTCCTCCTGTTTTTTTTGCCTATCTTTATTCTGCTTGATTCATAGAAATGATAACAATAACAATCATAGAACTTAGATAATATTATTTTGTTAAGATTATCTCTGATAGACGTGTATACAAAGAATGAAATATTTCATACACATTTTTTATGTTTATTCACTTCAACATGTATTGACAATTGAAAAAATAAAAGATGTGACACTGCATAGAACAGGTAATATCCCATATAATATTGCAATGATCTTTTCTCGAGCTATATCTAGATGCATTAATACAATAGTCATACTGTAGAGTCAATCAGCATTGTGCAAATAAGACGTATATATACAATTCTTTTCTCTTTTTATGTACTATACATATATAACATATATGTGACAGTGGAAATTGGAATTCAGGGGAATTCGGAATTCCACTAGTGGAAATTGGAATTCTAATCTCCACTAGTGGAAATTAGAATAAAGTGACTATTCTAATTTCAACTAGTGGAAATTAGCATTCTATTTTCCACTATAGGGGAATTCCGAATTCCACTAGAAAAAAAATCATACAGATTTTTCTAATTTACACTATAGTGGAAATCGAAACTATATTTTATTTATTACATATTATACGTTTGAACAAACTATTTTTTTACTGCTATGGCATTTCGTACCACATTTTACTTTTTGGGCTTTACATAGACAATGTTTCGTGGCACATTGACCTTTACAATGGCAAGCTTCTGCAGAAATATCTACACCGGAACTAATACACATATATTCCTGACAAGCTTGGATGAATGTTTTTGTTGGTAATGTCGATGGATCAACCGTACGTAAATCATTAAAGTTACATTTTGTTAAATCCGATAAATCTTGTATTTGATACGATGTAGATAGAATACATGTTTTTGTACATAATCGATACATATTGGTATCATTGGACGATATTTGAATTGACATAATTTTACAGGGTAATATTTTGGCTGTAACATTTGTACGATCAACTCGATCGATTTTTAGTCCAACTAAATCGCCAATGACGTATGCAGAACGTTGTGTAGCGGCATCGTACAGTTTTTCACGTTTTTCAATGGTTTTCAAATAATTTTCTTCTGCTTCATCTCGAACACGTTTATGACGATTTGTTGGATTGAGACAAGCGGGTGGAACATCAATAACTGAATTATCGTTCAAATCCTAATAAATAGTAAATAACCCATAAGGAAGAAAACAAGCGAAGCATAAATAGAAACTACCTTCATTAGATGTTTCTGATAGATTCATTGGTACTGTTTGTGTCTCATCGAGTGGTATTGTTGCCGCTGTATCTGTTACTGTTGGATTATGAGTAATATATTCGGTATCAACAGGTTCCACATCGATCATTGGTTGAGCTATAAGTAGAGTTCAAATAGGTGAACGATAAACTATGTCACCAAAGCGTACGTTCATGTAATTGTTCGGCGAAATCCGCAGATAAATCTTCCTCATCTTCGATGCCAGAATTAGCCAAAATTCTCCACCTTTCAAGATCACATCTCGGTTGCTGACCAAAAACCACCTCGTATGGAGTTTCTTTTGTTGATTCAGCGTAACTTGTATTAAGGGCATAAATAGCTGGACTCAAACCTAGACAAATTAATTCGGATAAACAGAAATTCTATTTTACGCCTTTGAGTTCACCTTTTGACCATGCTTTGGTATTATTTTGCTGCATCCATTTGCCAAGTGCCAGTTCTAACGTCTGATTACCACACTCCACAGATGTATGTCCACCGATGGATGTCTTGGTCGTCCGTTTATAATGACAAGGCCACGCCATTGATTTTTTAATTCCTCCAAAAAATAAAGATACGCTCCAGAGAATCCTGCTAGTGCGACCTGTACAATTTTTCTTTATCTTTACTTTAATAACTCGAGCGACAAATTCTTTGCCATTGTCCGATTGAAGAATTCTTGGAGCACCAAATAGATAAAACAGACTTGATAATTTTTCAGCAGCAGTTACGGCTTCTTTTGAATGGATAACCCCACGAGAATTTGGAGAAGTGGTCTTTGACATGCAAAATCCAGTTGAAGTTTCCATCCGAAACACTTCTCATATCAATGAGATCCATTTGTAATCGTGTAAGAAAACCTAATGAGACAATCGGTTTAGCTAAAACACCATAAAGGTGGATGGAAATATTTAAAATTTAATAGGTGCTTCGCCTACGTGCAACTGGTTTTGGAAATGGTTGTCTGTTTCTACAAACATCACACATAGAAATATATATGTTAACAACATCCCATGGAATAAAGCTATATTGTTCTTTTACCTACAGAAGTTAAAAAATTCAACAGCTTGTTCAACTTATGAAAAACTACGCACTTCTCTCCACGTTCGATCACGTCCATGATGCCCAACTCGTTCATGGGATTCTTTTAGTTTTGAATACATTTGTTCGTACGTTACCACCGGATGATTATTTTTTGCACCATAAACAATTTGTTGTTCCCTGATTGTAACTAATTTGAAATTGGAATTTGCCCAGAATTTAAACTTTGGTGAACCCCATCCCTCTTTCAGTGGTAATACAATACCTTCATACATTGCTTGTTTAATTACAAATTTATTACGAAATTTTTCATTCATATTTTGAATATGAGCATCGAGCTTTTCATAGAAGAGTTTCATTAAGACAAAGATTTATTCACGTACGTACACGAAATTGAAACTTTCTGTTCAGTAGTTACTCTATTTTCTTCTTAGACATTTCTCTCACTTGTTTTTTCCGGCGGACCTGCTAGTGTATTCCAATTTCAACTATAGTGAAGATTGGGATGTTCTATTTCTTTTCCTGTTTCACTAATAAAGGACAGTCTAGTGTGTATTCTTACTTCTATTAACACTGTATTACCGTAAATTCCGATTTCCACTATAGTGTAAATTAGAAAAATCTGTATGATTTTTTTTCTAGTGGAATTCGGAATTCCCCTATAGTGGAAAATAGAATCCCAATTTCCACTAGTTGAAATTAGAATGGTCACTTTATTCTAATTTGCACTAGTGGAATTCCGAATTCCCCTGAATTCCAATTTCCACTGTCACATAGACACGCGACGAAATGGAAAAGAAAATATCTTGTGACTATTCATTTCTGTTTCGTTTTTACGAACTTTCATTTATCATGAAAGTGTCTAGATATATTTTCAAACAAAGTGAAAGTGAACAGACAAACTTTCACAATTTGTGAAAGTATGAGTCATTCTTGATTTTGACATGTGTATGAGGCGTTATATTTTACTAGAGCCTTGAACAAGGAAAAAAAATGTCAAAAGTTAGAAGAAAAACAAAGCACAACATTTACAACTACTGTTACATTTTTCTGGATCCTGCTTCTCTCACTCTAGCTCCTTCAAATAAATTTTCTCGATTTGTAAAAAGTTTTGTCTAAACCGTTCGTATGTCTACTACTACCTGCACGCCATCTCCTACATAAATGACACAGCAAGTCACTTCTCCATCTACAAACGAGTTCTTCTTTTCATTCTACTTTAACAAACCGTCCAGCAGTTAAAAGAAAAAGAAACTCAAATCTGTGATTTATGTTCAAAATTTAGCCAAAAGATCACGTTACTGCAGACCGAAAAGTTGACTGAAATTTGTCTTTGTGTTAACTCTGGAGGAGATAAAAAGCATAAAATGTGAGACAATGATGATGTACCCATAGGCAAGCAGAAAGGAAATATCAGATGGTTATCAGAATGTATAAAGCATTTTTTTAAAACAAATTTTGTGAAATCTGCAATTTCTTTGCTGTTTGCTTATTTCTCTTTGCCTCACATAAAACTTTCATTTCTTTCTTTAATAGAACTGCGACAAAAATCGTTTCTTTTCTTTTTAAAAGAAATTTTATTCTTTCTCACGTGTGTTTTTCCGTTATTTCACACTATATAACGGAAAAACACACGTGAGAAAGAATAAAATTTCTTTTAAAAAGAAAAGAAACGATTTTTGTCGCAGTTCTAATGTGTCTTACGAATAGACAAAAGGAAAAAAGAAATATGAAATGAATGAAAGTGAAAATTTCGCCTTAGCATTTTTTTTTCGTAAGAACGTATGTCATGCTATATATCAAACGTAACAATGAAAGAAAACTATAATAACTAGACAAAAGACAAAAAGAATGAAGAAATATAACGTTATTCTTTCATCTCATCTCTAAAAAATACACTCCGTTGTTCTTTTTGTTGCTGCGCTTGTCGGAAGAAAGCCATCTGTTTCTGATAATTCATTTAATATCATAAGAATGAAGAATAATATGTGAGTAAGCAAATTCGAAACTAAATAAATATGGAGTCAACGTTTTTACTAATCTTTATTGCTGCATGTTTACTGATTTTTGTTATTTTTGTTAAGACAGTACAGGTAAAAAGCTTAAGACAGCGATTAACCCTCTGATCTTTTGATATGTGGTGTAGTTCATCGAATTATATGTAGCTTGAAATACTGTTGAGTGTGCCAACCATCTCGTTCAGAGTTCCTCATATTGGAGATCTTTATTTTTTCAGACACCTTCCGTACAACCGCAATTGTGCTCGATTTCAAGCGCATTAAACTGCACTGTGAACTCTTCTCACCGATGTATACGTGCTATTAATCGGTTTCGTTTTTTCTTCAGGAAGAATGATAGCAGGTTGAAAGATTCCATTTTGTTCTAAAGTTATTCTTGAAGTCATCATATTTTGTAAACATAGTCTACATTATTATGTCGATAGACATTTTGAATTTGTCCAGGGATTATTTTTGTTTTTTTCTTCTTTAGTCATCATTTTTGCAAAAAGTGAGTCGTATGATCTAGAGATCTACATAATGTGAAGACATTCTGAAAACGGGAGATAGTTCTCTGGGTTCTGAATGTGAACTATTTCACGTTCTATTTTTAAACAACCTTCGAGCTTCGGCGAGATGAGTTCCACAAGTGACTTCGAACTTTTTAATTATTATTAGTTGTCCGGCGCCATTTTTTTTAATTCGTAGGCAGAATTGAGAAATGAATGAATGTGTACCTATCTTCTAACTAGTGAATTTCTGTTTTCAAATACATGCACCTAATAAAAGGTATACTAAGTGATTACTAGTTCTTTAAAACATAGAATTCTATGTTTTAAAGAACTTCGATTGTCTTAAGACACACCGAATTTCATTGAAAAGAGAACTGATTATAAAAGTTTATTCATTGACTGTTGAAATGATTTAGAATAATCACAATAAGGAGAAAAAAGGATCGATAATTACTCCGCTGAAATTGCTACAAGTCTCTTTATCATATTTACTGCTTTGTTATCTTTTATGTATTTGTCTATTTCCTCTGATGTTCTGTCATCTAAGCACATAGCCTCAAAAGTGTGCTGGTTTTCTTGCTGATTGATACTGTGAAAAGTTACTGCTTAAATATGTGCCATAATGTTCGATAGGTGAAAGTGTCCACATTGTTTATCGACATCGCAACTTGTGCGTAGCACAATTGCATTCTAGTTAATTCTTACCATCAAATGGACGATCAGATCAGAATCTGAGTTTCCTTTTTAAAGCCTCCCCCCCCTCCAAAATAGATTTTCAACATGGTGCATGGAATCTTCATGAAACTTTCTACAGATGCTTAACCCATAAAGGTACAAGTGTAAAAAAAATTTTCATAGCTCTAGCTCGTTCGGTTCGAGAGACATACAGGTAAGGTTGGGGAAAGGCAAAAGTAGAGCAGTTTTAATTTTTTTGATTTTCATGCATCATCTGATCCAGTCTTTTATGCTGCATCCGAATATGTATAGTATATTCAGAAAAACCCTTTTTTTGTGGTCAAAATCTAGCAAAAAACCGGAAAAATCGAAAATTTGAAAAACCTCCTTTTTTGGAGAAAGCATGCCTAAGATCGTATTTGATTTGGTATTCCTTGGAAAATCGAAATCGGCTGTCGCATAACCGTATGTTTCCTTATCTCTTGTCAAATAATTAAAAGACCTGGTCATTGTGCGTAAATTTCGTATTTCTAGTTTACGAAATAAACGAAGCGAAGATCAACTGTATGTAAAATGTAGTTCAAATCTAACTCTCCTTAATGATGTTAGGATAAATCTCATAGCTTCTAAGGTTCTTGATTTCAAGGCTCTACAAAGTAGTCGGAGCTTTTCGAGATCGGTTTTTTTCAAAACTGATCGTCACATTTTCTTCAAAGTATTTTCTGGAGGAACTGACTTAGTACTGAAAACGTGTCTAGGTCTCGCGTCTATCCACGACTATTTATCGAAGATCGCCATTCTGAGAAAACATCTTTCTAAAGAGCATGTAGAAAACACGATGACAACAAAAAACTGCCACAAAATATTACAGTCAGACACATGCTATTCAAAATGAGACATTGTCTAGCTCTAGACGATGTGGCATTGCAGAAATATTTAGGTTTAGTTTGGCAGCGGCGATTTCGCAAAGTAAAATTTATTGAAATCACACTCTTTGTTCAATACTAAAAGATTGATCTCAAACCATTAGAGGTCGACAATGTCTCATTTTGAATAGCATGTGTGTGACTGTAATATTTTGTGGCAGTTTTTTGTTGTCATCGTGTTTTCTACATGCTCTTTAGAAAGATGTTTTC